AAAAACTGAATGCAATGATGTGGAGGTGCCAACATCTAATATTTTATTCAGAATAGAACACAAATCACAGATCAAAAGTTTAAACTGAGAGAATGTATCATTTTAAGGGAAAAATCTGTTGTTTCCAAATTTCATGGCATCAACAAATCCCAAAAAAGTTGGGACAAGTCCATTTTTACCACTGTGTGGCATCCCCCCTTCTTCTTACAACACTCAACAGACGTCTGGGGACAGAGGACTGTTCAATCGTCTTGGGCCTTCTTTGTCGCACCTTCCTCTTTATGATGCGCCAAATGTTCTCTATAGGTGAAAGATCTGGACTGCAGGCTGGCCATTTCAGTACCTGGATCCTTCTCCTACGTAGCCATGATGTTGTGATTGCTGCAGAATGTGGTCTGGCATTATCGTGTTGAAAAATGCAGGGTCTTCCCTGAAAGAGATGACGTCTAGATGGGAGCATATTGTTCTAGAACCTGAACATAGTTCTCTGCATTAATGGTGCCTTTCCAGACATGCAAGCTGCCCATGCCACAAGCGCTCATGCAACCCCATACCATCAGTGATGCAGGCTTCTGAACGGAGTGTTAATAACAACTTGGGCAATCCTTGTCCTCTCTGGTCCGGATGACATGGCATCCCAGTGTTCCATAAAGAACTTCAAATTGTGACTCATCTGACCACAGAACAGTCTTCCATTTTGCCACACTCCATTTTAAATGACCCCTGGCCCAGTGCAAACGTCTGAGCTTGTGGAGCTTGCTTAGAAATGGCTTCCTCTTTGCACTGTAGAGTTTCAGCTGGAAACGGCGGATGGCACGGTGGATTGTGTTCACTGACAATGCTTTCTGGAAGTATTTCTGAGCCCATTCTGTTATTTCCTTGACAGTGGCATTCCTGTTTGAGGTGCAGTGACGTTTAAGGGCCCGGAGATCACGAGCATCCAGTAGAGTTTTACGGCCTTGACCCTTACGCACAGCGATTGTTCCTGATTCTCTGAATCTTTTGATGATGTTATGCACGGTTGATGATGATAACTTAAAAGTCTTTGCTATTTTACGCTGGGTAACACCAGTCTGGTATTGCTGCACTATCTTTCTGCGCAACAATGGTGGAATTGGTGATCCTCTTACCATCTTGGCTTCTGAGAGACACTGACACTCTGAGAAGCTCTTTTTATACCCAATCATGTTGTCAATTGACCTAATTAGTGTTAATTGGTCTTCCAGCTGTTCGTTATATGCTCAATTTCCTTTTTCCAGCCACTTATTGCTACTTGTCCCAACTTTTTTTGGGATTTGTTGACACTGTGAAATTTGAATCAACATATTTTTCCTTTAAAATGTTACATTTACTCAGATTAAACTTTTGATCTGTCATCTATGTTATATTACAAATAAAATATTGACATTTGCCATCTCCACATCATTGCATTCAGTTTTTATTCACAATTTGTTTAGTGTCCCAACTTTTTTGGAATCCGGTTTGTAGTAGAGTGATGTATGAATGGGTAAATGAGGACACAGATTGTAGTGTAAAGCGCTTTGAGTATCTTGAAATAAGATAGAAAGGCGCTATATAAGTACAGTCCATTTAACATTTAGCTAGCATGGTTTAAATAACAAGTTGCTGAATTACAAAGTGTGTACACCTTCATGCTTTTTAATTTTGAGATATGGTAACTTTGCTTTTCTGATTTGTCGGCCTTTTTGTGCACCCTTTAAGCCAACAGTGCACAACCATTATTGATCTGTCACGAGCATTCACTGAAGTGAAACCACTTTCGGTTTGTTTTTCTTACTGGATGCCCAAGAAGATGTAGGAAGTGTGACATCAATTGGGAACTATATGTACAGTTAAAAGTCAAACATAGTAAAACAGTAGAAAAAAAAACTAGAAAGTTCCAGGAGAAACTTTGATGGGGACGGCCAGGCTGCTGCCGTTTTAAACTGTTGATCTGACAGTACTATGTGTTGCTGTTCGCTCTCAGCTACCAGTATACCAAGTTGCAGCTGAGTAGCTCTAAAATTTACCGAGTTATCATATTTTTTCTCTTTTAGCTAAGGTAGCCAGCTTGGATATTAGATTTGGATTCAGTTTGTGATAGGGAACGTTCTCAGCTGTAACCTCGCCAAATTTCAGCTCGATATGTGTTAAAATGGCTGAGTTAAATCCATTTCAAAGTAGCAGTGGTGGTCATCTTGGATTTTTGATTTTGATGCAACATTTGATGGGAAACATTCTTAGCTATCACCACACCAAGTTTCAGCTACATACCACTAAAATTGACTGATTTATTGTATTGTTCCTTTTTTTGCTCAAGCACCATCTGATTTTTGATTTTCAGTCAGAATCTATTAGGGATCATTCTCAGCTACCAACACACCAAATTTCACCTGAATTGCTGTAAAAAATGGCTGAGTTATAATATTTTTTCTCTTTTAGCTAAGGCGACCATCTTGGATATTTGATTTGCATTATGTACACTGCCTGGCCAAAAACAAAAGTTGTCACCTGGATTTAACTAAGCAAATAGGTACGAGCCTCCTATTGGATAATTACTGCATGGATGATTATCTTTCAGCTGGCAACAAGTTATTTAACCCAACTGGTGCAATGAGTTGCTTCTCATTTCTTAAAGTTGTTCTTAATGTTGAAAGACACATCGCGTGATCGTGGAAAAGATGTCAGTCTGTTTGAGAAGGGTCAAATCACTGGCATCAAGTAGAGAAAACATCTAAGGAGATTGTAGAAACGGGTTAAGAACTGTCCAACATATTATTAAAAACTGGAAGGATAGCAGGGACCCGTCGACTTCGAGGAAGAACTGTGGCCGGAAAAAAATCCTGAATGATGGTAATCGGTGATCACTTAAACGTTTTGTGATATCAAATTGAAGAAAAACAGTAGCACTCAGGGCTATGTTTAATGGTGAAAGTAAGAACATTTCCACACACACAATGTGAAGAGAACTATAGGGATTGGGACTGAACAGCTGTGTAGCCTTAAGAAAACCAGTAATCGGTTAAGCTAACTGGGGAAAAAAAAGGCTTCAGTTTGCTAGGGAGCATAAAGATTGGACTCTGGAGCAATAAAAGAAGGTCATGTGGTCTGATGAGTCCAGATTTACCCTGTTCCAGAGTGATGGGCTCATCAGGGTAAGAAGAGAGGCAGGTAAAGGGATGCATCCATCATGTCTAGTGCCTAGTCATCAATGCAAGACCTTGGTGAAAGATTACTGCAACACTGGATGGAAATAGATCTTGTGACATTGCAGAAGCTTATTGAAACAATGTTGTTATAAATTCATGCTGTAATCAAAGCTAAAGGCGGTCCAACGAAATATTCGTGTGTGACCTTTTTTTTTTGGTGGAGACTTATTTTTTGGCCAGGCAGTGTCTTAACAACTCACGCTCAGCTACAACCATTTCAGCTAAGTATCTGAAAGAATGACTGAGTTATAGTCAATTTTGTGTTTGCTGAGGTAGCTGTGGCAGCCATCTTGAATCAAAATGGCTCCAAAGGTTAATTAATTCTAGAGATACATGTGATGATTACTTTCTGTGAGTTTCAAACAAATCCAATGAGCTGTTCATGAGATATGTTGCTAACAGACAGTCCATCTAAGTTTACATTTCTGTGTTCCTGAAGTCAGGTCAGAGGTGCGTGCATTTGCCCATGCATGCACCTGTGCATGGGTACGTGCATGTGTGGGGTGGCGGGGCATAGTAACAGACGAAGGAGCAAGAAGAGACAAAATCTTGCTTCGAACAAATGTGCACTGCATAAAAACAATAAGGTCTTTTGAAAAAATTCTTGAAGCGTTATTGACACAAGAGATTGGTTCACACACATGTACATTTTCACATTTTTACAGCACTACTTGTCAGAGATATGATGAGTTAAAAACACTCCTCACAATGTCATCTGAACAAAAAACTTGTCAGAGTTATAATGGAGAAACAGGAGTGATCTGGTCGCACTCTCCCCTTCTGAGGCACCTCACAACCAAACCATAACTCCTACAGCCAAATCACATGGTGGAAAGTCAACAAAAATTCCTACATTTTGATATATAATATATGAGCATATCTTAAAAGATGTGGTGGTAGGAAGAGTTTGTTCGATAACTTTCAGAGTTTTGTTCATGGAGCTCTCCACTCTAGGTCATGTGACCTCAGAGCTGCAGAGGGGTGACCAGTGCTCCGTCAGGTGTTTCACATGAGGAAAACAGCATCTTTGTTCGCAAATTACGTCACCATGGTAACTCGAAACACCAATAAAGGTAATAGCACACATCATTGGGCTGAGCCGGTCGCTTTGATATAACATTTGGGGGGGGGGGGGGTACACGTTGCAGTTCGGGTCATATTAAAGTTGACGGAAGAGTAAGATATAACACCCGTTTCAAATGTTATTAGCCATTAAATGGCCGTTATTAGTTGTTATCATCTCCATATGTAGCGGTCAGACTGCCCCTCCTGTACCCCCTAGTGGGTTTAAAGGTACATTGTTAGCGTTGTTAGCAATGATAATAGGCCCTGTTTTTACCTTTGTTAGCGCTCATAATAACGTCACCTGGTTAGGTTTAGAGTAAAGGGGCTGGCAGTTAGGTTTACGGTCTTGGTTAGGTTTAGGCACAAGGGTAAGGGGGTTAAGTTTAGAGTTGGTCCTCTGGGTCATGTGTAAGCTTAGCTTACGTTTAGGAAAAGGGTTACATGAGTTGAAAAAAAAAAAAAAAAAGACACTTCCTGGTTTAACCCCATGTGACGCTGTCTATTATCAGCAATAATAACGTACCTTTAAACCTACTAGGAGGTAGGTGGGGCAGTTTCGCTGCTACATATGGGGATGATAACAACTAATAACAGCCATTTAATGGGCTGATAACATCCGAAGCCGATTGATATAAAGGGGCTGTTTACAAGGCGCGTATTTTGAGCGCATCCACAGCTTTCTCTCTGCGGTTCTGCTGATCATTTACATGACACCAGGGGCTCCCCTTTTTGAATCTGGAGGTTTCTGAACCCACCTTCCAGAGTGGAGGTTTTTCACTGACCCCCCACTGATAATGTAAACATCTCCCGCTGAGGCTTTGTGTTAAATCACATGCGCACACGCACGCGTGGACAGACGCTATATTTCTATCAGCATGGCAGCGGACACAGTGCTTTCAGAACTACGACTGATGGAATATATTTTTAATCTCGTAGTTAATCTACGTCAGATTCTAGGTGCTGTGTCTGACATCTGTGTTGGAAGAGACACAGTCAGATCCAGTTCTAATGTCGCTGTTTATAGAACGAGGCATGCGCACACGTCACGCTGCACTATAACATACTAAATGTGCTAAATAATAACAGTTTAATAATAATAAACAGTATTTATGTTAGTGTGAGAGATATAATGAAGCTTTGAGCTAAATGAAGCTATATGGACATTATGTAATTCAAATTTAAAGTTATGCTAAACATATAACGTGAACACTAAAGTTGAAAATTAAGACATCAGGTTTAATTTTTATCTATTTATTCAACACCACAAACTGTATGTCACACAAACACTGATAATTAAACTGAACACACTATTAAAACAAGTTAACTGTAAACTACGTTAATAAACAACTGGACTCTCGTTTTCATCCGGTATGGAAGTCCCACGTTGTTCATCTGGCTCATTCAGGCTGTCACTCCTTTGATTAATACAGCTTAAAACATTCAGTGGATTGAATAAAAGAACTGAGAGGAATTTTAAATAAATAGTTCATCCAACAGCTCTCTCTTCCACGTCCTCCTGCTCTGCACCTGGGCCGAGCCTCATTCAGAACCGATTCGCCTGGTGGGAGACAGCTTCTTTTTCTTCTTTCATTACATTATTAAGAACGTTGATTTACCTGCTGTAAAACAGCTACTGATTATCACGGAGTAAAGTCCGACATCGTCGACTCGGTTCTGGTCCACTCAGCGACCGGTGTGGAGCTGTTAGACGAAGCGGTCCCGCTTGGTGTCAAATCTGTCGACTTTTATCCACAATCCAGCCAAAATCCAGCTTTTACTTGTTATTAAATTGTTGTTAGCTGAGCTTTTTAGCTCACAGGAAAGGCGCGTGCCGCATGCACATTAGGTGAAGGTACAAAATTCACAGCGCCATCTAATGACCTGGCATGGTAACTACAGCGGATTCGGGAGGGCGGGTGGGATTCCTTCGGATGCATGTAAACACATAATCCGTCCATATCAACGCGGATCTTTTCCTCTAATTAACATACGAAAAAACCTACGTTTCCCCCCATCGTGTCCGTGTAAATAGGGCCTTAGTGTTACAAAACTGAATCCAGTTTGAGTTCATTAAAACGAACAGTGAACTAGATTAGCTTGACCCCAATACCCATACAACCCCGAGACATCCATATGTGGGGTCGCTTCAGATCAGCAGGAGGTCCTCACGGAGGACTGGGACAGACTGCTGTTCATACTCTGTGTACACAAGTGGTCCAGACCACCTACCAAGGTAGTCTGAGTGGAAACATTTTGAATGTGTAGTGGGAAGATTCACACCTGTCCTATCTTAACACAACCAGGTCAAGGCAGAAGTTATCAACAAATGTGGTGTCCCAAAGACACAAATTGAAAGGAAACTAATTTACATATTCTCCCCATGCACGTGTGGTCCTGTCACATTATAATGTTTTAGTTCAAGTTAAAGTTTCTGTATTGTCATTCACATCACACGTGGTACATGAGGTGGAATGAAATGATGTACTCAAGGCCCCAGTTACATCCAAAAATAGATCTGTTCAGATTGGTTTTGAGCACACAAAAATAACAACACTTAAGTTTAGTCGTCAAAGTGGCTCAGTTCCTGCAGTGTGAAGTATAATTTGGCTGCACACAAATGTTTCTTGGCCAAGTGAAGGCAAAAAGGCTTGGCTACTCTCCAGGTATAAAATACAAAATCAAATTGTGACTTTTTCTTAAATGCTAAGTCTAACCGTCTTGGCTTTGGACAGTCAAACCTGAACCAGAATGAGAACCCTGGTTGTTTCCTGATATCACTTTTTGTATACACAGTTGTGCATTTAGATGAGACTTGCTGCTTCTGAGGAATTTCCGCTGCTCTTTGGGCTTATTTTCCATGAGAAGAGTCTGCCAGCACAGACGAAAAGAAACGAGGGGGCAAAGAGGGGGTGGTGAGTTTACATCTGGTTATTGTGACCCTGGGAGGTAGTGTTATTTTTTACATTTACCTGTTCATTTCGAAGGTAGAGAGAGCTTGTTTCTGCTGTTTTATGTGGAGTCAGTATAAATAAAGCACTGGAGTTTACACTCTGCCTGGAGATTCACCTGATCCACTGTTTGTTTAGTTTAGTTTTTTGTTCAGTTAGGTACTGTATATATTTTTTCTCTTAAGCTAACACTCCAAAAAAAAAAAGGTCCATAAATAAAAAATCTGCTTTATTAATATGAAACTGCTTTATTACAGTTTATATTATTTCCCAAAATTCCAAGCTTTATGATGTAAGCACATTTTTAACCTAAATTATGTATTATCAAAAGGTGGATTAATAAAAGTTAAACAATTCCATCCATCCATCCATCCATCCATCCATCCATCCATCCATCCATCCATCCATCCATCCATCCATCCATTATCTTCCAATTGTTCTTAAGTCAGGTCATGGGGGGCAGCATCTTGAGCAGGGAGGTCCAGACATCACTTTCCACAGCCTCTTCCAGCTCTTCTGGGAGGACTCTAAGGCAAACCGAGAGACATACTCTCTCCATTGTGTCCTAGGTTTTCCCCGGGGTCTATTCCCAGTTGGACGTGTCTGAAGCACCTCCCTAGGGAAGCGCCCATGGAGCATCCTTACCAGATGCCTGAACCACCTCAATTGGATCCTCTTGATGTGGAGGAGCAGTGGTTCTACTCAGAGTTTCTCCAGGATAACTGAACTTCTCACCCTATCTCTAAGGGAGAGTCCAGCTACCCTGCAGAGGAAACTCATACCAACCGTCTGTATCCACAATCTCATTCTCTCTGTCACTACCCAGAGTTTGTGGCAATTTTCAATTTTATGGCTGCAACACATCTGAACAAATTTGAGACAAAAGACTAAATTAAGTGATATCATTTAGAAAAAGCTGGAGGAGTAGTTTGCAACTAATTAGGGTACTTATTAGCAACAGGTCAGTAGGAGGACGGGGTTTAAAAAGAACATTTTAGAGAGGCTGAATCTGTTAGAAATAAAGATGAGCAAATGTTCACCAGTCTTTGAGAAACCGCATCTAAAAATAGTGGAACAATTTGAGAATGATTTTCCACATGAGAACATTGGAAGGATTTTGACTGTCATAAGCCCCTTCTAAAATACTTTGTAGGCCCAATAACATCCATGGTGACTGATCACAGAAACCCCACCCCTTTTAAGCAGTGTTGAGTTCGTTCAGGAAGATTCTAACGTTCAGTTTGAAGAGACAAAACAGACATGGATTATTATGTTTTTTTACCAGTCTCTCTGATTGTTTTGTCCTCAGCTCGCTCTGGGTCTCAGAATGTGCCGACCTCTGGCTCCTGCTGGAACAGGTGTTTTGAACTGGTAGAAGCGGAGCACCCAAACTGTCGCTGTGACAATCTTTGTAAGACCTACAACGCCTGCTGTTCAGACTTTATCCAGCTCTGCCTCCGAACAGGTACTCCATAAACATCCTTGATTCTCCTATATGCCCAATCCCCTCATTCAATCCCACTACAACACAGTACTTCATGTTTTGTTCCACTGCCTCTGACAGATCAACTGTCTAAGTCAAAGTTTCTTTATTTGTCATATGCACTGTGCTGTGCTGTGATCTAAAGAGCTCAATCATCCCCAGAGCATTGACAGTGTTGTGTTGCAAAATTCAAACTTGGAAACTTTCTGTGAAAATTAACAAGAATTTATGAAAATTTGCCAGGAATTTTAACAATAAACAGTTGATTTCATTGCTGTGTACCATGAGAGGTGCCACACTATATAAACTGATAAACTGTCCTCTGAACATGTAGGGACAGCAACATGTAAAAAGTTTTGTTAAGAGTTGTATGTAAATATATAACAGATGTCCTAATCTCCAAAATCCTCCATTATATAATTTCTCTTCGTTGGAGTGAACTAGTTTACCGTTCTGATTTGTTGCTGGAGGTCCTGACTGATGTTTTGCTTCCACAGGTAAACTGCTCCAAGCATTAGTCATGGTAAATTTTGAACATTACCTCTTACACGCAGCTTCGTAAGCTGGAGTAAACGTGACGTGTGACAACAAGCATGTTGGTGTGACTTGCCCTAATCAAGGAGAATTAATTTGTGGAGTCTGGAAGTTGGGGAAAAAAAAAACGTTTTACATTAAAGTCAGTAGGTGACTGAGGTGACAAGAGACTTGACAGAGCAGAGCCTTATGCTGGTTGGACAATGACTTAGAGGTGGGACAAGCTTCCCACACAGATCAGTTGTGGACTGATGACCTAGAGAGAACTTTTTTCTTCTTATGGTGGGGCATCTTCTCATAGATAAACCTGCTGTAGTATATAAATAAATTGATTGACAGACGGATGGATGGATATGTTGTGGCACTTGTAATAAAATGGGAGATGACAATGTGGTGATACGAGTCTTTGTACAACAGTGACTGGTCAGGTCCAGTGCTTTTACTTGTGCTGCTTTTGACACATTAAGGTGCTAATTAGTTTTTTACAACAAATATTTAAAAAACAAACCTTGCAGTAATTTTTCTTTAGTCAAACTTGCGTTGTTCTATTTCGTATAGGCTTCGCCCTTTAAGTCTATCGCTAGTGGGTTTATCCCTTCGCGCATATAGCACTGAAAATTTTAGTCCGCGCCCACCGGCTGTGTGGGCCCCACGACCGATCCGTATAAATTACCGTGAGACCGGGCAATCGGCTCCCATTTTTTCTTCAGCCAGCTAGCTAGTACTGTCAGAAGAACGAAGAAGGAAAAGATGTCCAGCTTTGACTGGCACAACTTTTGTGAAGGATGCCTGGGTCTCCACCACACCGACCTCCTGCCGTCCCTGTGAGCTCTTTCCCCCCAAAGAGAAGCAGAGATGAGCAGCCTTTTTCAAGGAAAGTGCCGAGGAGTGTTTTTCTGTGGCGGGCCGCTACTCGCTGGACGACGCCATTGCCTTTTCTAACACTTTTTCCGCACGGTGAATCGGATGATTCTCTCGAAAAAGGCGATACTGGCAGCAGTGCCGCTTAGTGTTTTTCCGTGGTGGGACGCTACGCGTTGGACGACGCCACCGCCTTTCTTTGATGCAGAGCCGCGCAGTGAATCGAACGATTCCTCTGAGAAAGGCAATGCTGACAACAGCCTTGCTGACCCCTCCCTCCTAGAGAGCGTAGTGACGGAAGAAGAGCGGCCGAGCAAATGCTCAGCCACCTCGGGTCTTCCCACATTGGCAACCACACCGCTCCGAGCCGTCGGTGCCCTCCTCTCGGAGCTGCCCGACATAATCCAGGAGACTGCTAATACAAAGGGACTTTCCATCCCTTGCCTCCCTCTGACCCGATAAAATGATCTGGCGGGAAGGTTTGGCTCCGCCTCGGCTCGTCGCCCTGACCCCATCTGGCCCCGCTTTCCAGCAGTGACATCCTACTGGAACGAGGCTGCAGCTGGGCCCGGCAAGCTGAAGACGCCAGTCTCCACCTTTGCCTCCATCTCCAGAGTGGAGAGTTTTACGGATCAGAGTTTTTTTCCCTCGATTCCCCCACTGGAGCAAAGCCTGGCGGAGGCGCTTGGGGCAAAAGCTTCCAGGATGGACCAGCAACCTGTCCCTCCAGGGAAGCATGATCAGATGATGACAAACCTCTCCAACCGAGCTCACCAGTGCTCATTCCAGGTGACCGCGGCAAACAACAACGTCGCCCTGCTGGCCTATAGCATCTCTAAGAGGCTGGAGGAAGCAGACCTGCTGGAGGAGACAAAGAGCTCTCTCTGTAAAGCCGCTGATGTCATCTTAAACGTGCGACATCTCTGCGGTCTGCCTGTCCCGCATCGCCACCTGGATGACCATGATCCAGAGGACCACCTGGCTCCAGCTCTCGCCATCCTTGTCCGAGAAGCTGCAGAGAGACATGCTGGAGGGCCCCATCACCCCAGAGGCGCTGTTTGGGGCCAACTTCAGGACTATCCTTGAGAAATCGCAGAGGTCCGAGGAGGTCTCAGAGACAGTACACCATCTGGTGATGTCACAGTCCTCCTCCCACCCCTCTGGCCGCTGGAGGGACCACCGTGGCCAGCAACAGCAGCAGAGGCGTTCCACAGCTGCGGCAGCGACTTCACACTCCGCTCCTCCACCGGCCCCCTCCACCAGGAAACAGCTCCTTGAGGGGAATGTGTGTGTTTTTTGATGATGTATGTTTTGAAATAAAACAGAAACATCTCTGAAAGTAAAGTTTCATCTGATTCCAGCCTGACTGTCAGATCAACTGATCTCACAGCTGCCTCGCTTCACACATTCCTCACACAGAACAAGCCGGTAACCTCTAAACAGTGTTTTAAAAAACACCGCAGTTCGGCAAATATCACAAAACACTCGTCTGCCACATCAGCTAAAAATTATGTTTTTTCAGCAGACCAAGTCCAGTAAAATCCCTCTTTCTCAGCCAGAGCCTGTTTTATTTTCTGTCGTTTCTGCCCACTCACTGCGCAGAGGGAGTAAACGTGTTTCTCCACGACAGCTGTAGCCTCCACCGAAATGGCGTCTCACTCAGAAAGCGCTCACTCCTCCTCTCCGTGTGCGCCGGCTCACCTCAGCTCTAACATGAGACTGCAGCCTGGGCTCAGCACAGAGGCACGCATACAACCCTTTTTTGTTGGAGCCCCCTGGGCCTGCTTCACATGAGACACCTTCAGAGATGGTTCGCTTGCCTGCACATAGATCATGTGCGCCAGAAGAGGTAGATTATCTCTGTGCCCCCCTCTGTGAGAACCGATCTGAATCATTGGGGAAACCCCTTCATTCTGTCAGAGGGAGTTTCCATCAGCAGGCCTACGTCACACGTCTCAGTTTTCACAGATGCTTCCCTGTCAGGCTGGGGAGGAATGTGTCTGTCCCAGGTAGTGGGAGCACAGTGGCTGGACCACATGCTAGAATGTTTCACGGTCTGAAACGTGACTCAGCATTTTGCCCCCTGCTGCGAGATCAGCATGTTCTGATTCACACAGACAACAAAGTGACGGCAGCTTACATAAACCGTCAGGGAGGTGTGCACTCAGCCCAACTATTACGCATTGTGAGACAGCTGCTGTGTTGGGCACACAAAAACCTGCTCTCCATCAGAGCAGTGAACATTCCCGGCATCCTGAACAGGGGAGCGGACATAATGTCGAGGGGCAGTCCCCACCACAGAGACTGGAGCCTCCATCCCGAGCTGATATTTCGGATTTGGAGTAGGTTCGGCCAAGCAGGAGTGAATATGTTTGCCACATGGGAGAACGCCCAGTGTCAATTATGGTTCTCACTGAGCCCACAAGACGACCCACCATTAGGGGTGGATGCCTTCGCTCACAGCTCGTGGCCCAAAATGCTCCTTTATGCATTCCCTCCAGTCCTGCTGATATCACGGACCCTGGACCGGGTCCGGGAGGAAGAACTGTCAGTCATCCTTGCAGCTCTCGAGCGCATATGAGTGCTTAGTGTATATTTAGTTGATGTTTTTCTTAGTTCATATCTTAGATGTTATTAATGTTTTTCTTATACATTTTACTGTTGGATGTAACTGGGACCTTGTGTACATAATTTCGCTCCACCACATGTACCACATGAGGTGCGAATGACAATAAAGAAACTCTGACTCTGACTCTGATAAGCACCCCGTGGTTCCCGAATCTGCAGCGACTGATATCGGGTCGGCCGTGGAAACTGCGGTGTGTGTGTGTGTGTGTGTGTGGGGGGGGGGGGCTCTCTCCCAGGCAGGAAGAGCGATCAAGAGTTACCCAGAAATAGGTCAGCTTTTTTGGGGTTGGCTGCTAAACAGATCCGTTTAGAAAATATGGCAGTGTGACCAGATTGGGCGGTTTTCATTCCGATTTTGCTAGGAAATCCGGGAAGATTTTTGTTGGATTGTTACGTTTTGCCACATATTGTTAGTTTTTTGAGCTGGTAAACCTTGACTCTATTTGGCAACACTGAAAGATGGGCCTCCCACAGGATGCGGTGCATACGATTCAGGGCGCACGAGCTGCTTCCACCACAGCGCTCTACACATCAAAGTGGACAGTTTTTCAGCACTGGTGTGCAGAGAAAGGCATGGAGGACATCTCTTGTCCACTAGGTGGCGTGCTGTCATTTCTACAGCAACTGATGGACAAAAATTTAGCGTTCAGCACAATTAAAACTTGTGCTACAGCTATTTCTTCTGGTCAGGAGGTTTTTCGGTGACAGAACAGTTTTTAACCACCCGCTGATGAAGCATTTTCTGAAAGGTGTACGGAGACACAGACCTGTGTCATGTCCACTAGCTCCACAGTGGGACCTAACGATGGTCCTGCATGCTCTGATCAAAGCTCCTTTTGAGCCTTAAGATCAGGTTTCACTTTAATTTCTGTAACTTAAAACAGCCCTGCTGTAAGCGCTGACGTCGGCAAAGAGAGTGAGTGATTTATCTGCTCTCTCTGTTGCTCTCTCATGTCTCAGAATTCAAGCTGATGGCAGTTCAGCTGTACTGCGTCTTAACCCTGCTCTGAAAAGCATCACAAGCTCATTCAGATCGAGTGATAACCTTGGATGGGTTTTATCCATCCATTTTCCTCTGCTTATCCGGGGTCGGGTCGTGAGGGTAGCAGCCTTAGTAGGGAGGCCCAGACTTCTCCCTTCTTCTTTAGGGAGGCACCATAAACAGATGCCCGAGCCACCTCAACTGGCTTTTCTTGACGTGGAGAAGCAGCGGCTAGACTCTGAGTCTCTGCCGGATGATCGAGCTTCTCACCCTATCTCTAAGGGAGAGCCCAGACACCCTGCGGAGAAAACTCATTTTGGCCGCTTGTATCCGAGATCTTGTTCTTTTGGTCACAACCCAAAGCTCATGACCATAGATGAGGGTGGGAACGTAGATCGATCGGTAAATTGAGAGCTTCGCCTTTTGACTCAGCTCTCTCTTCACCACGACAGACGTGTACAGCGCCCGCTTCACTGCAGACGCTGCACCTATCCGCCTATAAATCTCATGTTCCATTTTTCCCTCAGTCGTGAACAAGACCCTAAGATACTTGAACTCCTCCACTTGGGGCAAGACCTCCTCCCTGACCCGGAGAGGGCACTCTACCCTTTTCCGGCTCAAGACCATGGCCTCGGATTTTGAGGAACTGATACTCATCCCGGCTGCGTCACTCTTGGCTGCGAACCACTCCAGCGAAAGCTGTAGATCACGATCTGAGGAAGCCAATAGGACCACACCATCTGCAAAAAGCAGAGACGCAATCCTAAGGCCACCAAAACGGATCCCCTCAACACCTTGGCTGTGCCTAGAAATTCTGTCCATAAAAGTTATGAACAGAATCGGTGACAAAGGGCAACCATGGCGGAGTCCAACTCTCACCGGGAATAAGCCCGACTTACTGCCGGCAATGCGGACCAGGCTCTGACACCGGTCATACAGGGACCTAACAGCCCATATCAAAGGGCCCGGTACCCCATACTCCCAGAGTTCCCCTCCACAGGGTTCCCAGAGGGACGCCGTCAAACGCCTTCTACAAGTCCACAAAGCACATGTAGACCGGTTGGGCAAACTCCCACGCACCCTCCAGGACCCTGCTGAGAGTGTAGAACTGGTCCAGTGTTCCACGACCAGGACGAAAACTGCACTGCTCCTCCTGAATCCGAGGTTTGACTATCCGATGGACCCTCCTCTCCAGAACCCCCGAATAGACCTTACCAGGGAGGCTTAAGAGCGTGATTTTATCCTCCTCATAATTCTGAAGAGGAAGTAACATCTCACCTCCTCTGTCCCGTGCGCGCACTTTCGTGTTACGTGGCGCACATGGCCACACTGCGCTACTCTCAGCGTCTGTTCGTGCATTACAGGGACAGCTCCTCAGGATGCCCTCTATCCACCCAGCACCTCTCACACTGGTTGTGTGAGGCTATTTCTGAAGCTTACAGTTCATCTGGGCTGGATCCTCCAGAGAATTTCAGCGCATTCCACCAGAGGGTTTTTCATCCTCCACGGCTCTGCATGGAGGGATGACAGTGGAGGATATTTGTATGGCGGCTGCCTGGTCATCGCCGTGTTTAATTATTTGTTTTTAATCTACGTGATGTTTGTACTTTCTCCATGACCCATTCTGTTCTCAGGGTTCTGACAGAATGATTATTATTTGTTTCATGGAGCCTCACTTTTGAGCTCACACCTGTCTGCATGCAGTCGCAGTGTGAGTTTTTTTTTTAATCAGTCACAAGTTCACGGCTGCTGATTTTATTGTTATTACTCAGTTCATTCTGAGGAGCTGTTGGCCTGCTCTGTTCATCGTTACACTGTTACAATTTGTATCCTCCGTTGTTCCTATTCACAGCAGCAGTTCTGCTATCTCAGCCTTTTTCCTTACCAGAGATCTTTTCTCTAGTGCGCTCCTGCGCATGGAGCTTACAGAAGGCTGAGTGATGAAATGTTTTTTTGTGAAAGAATGGACCCAGTGAGGCATGGACTACAGCCTGCTTTACCTATAATCCACTAGCGATAGCCTTACAGCGCGAAGCCTATACGAAATAGAACGTTGGTTACATACTGTAACCCCAGATTCTATGAGTATAGGTGCAGCCCTTTAAGCTATGGGCCTCACTGGTTCCTAAATGGCTGAAGAAAAAAGCTATTTGGGAGCCGATTGCCCAGTCTCACCGTAATTTATACGGACCGGGGGTGGGGCCCACACAGCCGGTGGGCGTGGACTAAAGTTTTCAGTGCTGCACTGCGCGCGAAGGGATAAACCCACTAGCGATAGCCTTAAAGGGCTGTACCTATACTCATAGAATCTGGGGTTACAGTACGTAACCAACGTTTGTCATACTTTGAAATGTCCTCCCTCCCCACAGAGGACTTTAGATAAACCTGCATTATTTTGGGCCTATAATTAATCTGTGCTAGTTCAGAAAATTAAACAAAAACTGGGGTTAAGAAAGACATTTTTTAAAGCTTTAATTTTCAAATCCTTTTTGAAACTTTAAGCAATTCAGTCTTTGATCAGAGCTTGTAACAATCAGGCTGATTGCCCAGCAGAACAGTTCTGTCTGAACTGAAAGGAGCTATGGACCTAATGATCCACAGAAAGGTTTCTTGCTGTTTGAACAATCTCTACATGTTTGTTGTCTTTTTCTTTTTCTTTCCAGTTGCTGAATCAACAGTTGACTTCTAATACTCCCTTCGCCTGTGGTCTGAATTTATTATTTCTTCAAGTCTGGTGGTCTTTGGTTCACCTCCACCTGCTATTTAATCCCTTCTGTGCCTGAGAGTCTTAATATATTTAGTCAAATCTTTTCTAAAAAGATGTCCAATTAACAAAAAGTTTAAAATGCAGAATACAGTCAATGTAGGTTCCATGCTACCTGTTGTGGCCAAACCACCATCACAATAATATTGTGGTTTCTGTACTAAACTGTTACTTTAGTTACAACTTTGCAAAAGTTTCAAAATGTACAGCGAAGATGCTGATGCCTTCTTTTCTTCCTGCCTACAGATGGGGGCTATGAGTGCAGCAAGGACCGGTGTGGGGAGGCTCGAAATGAGCAACATGCCTGCCACTGTTCTGACGACTGTCTGACCAGAGGAGACTGCTGTACCAACTACAAAAAACTCTGTAAAGGTGTGCAGCTTTTAAGGGTGGAGGCCAGTGACTATTTTGGCCTCTTTTGGGGGGTGCTTAAGCACCCCTAAATTTTAACTTAGCACCCCTGGAAAATATAAGAAACCATCTGTGATGTATACTGTATTGAGACAAGTTAATTATTTTATATTGCCAGTAGGTGGCACTGTGCTGTTATATAAGACCTGAATGATGACAAGTAAAGGGCGTTGTCTTCCAAACATCAGCGTCTGTCTCATGATATGTTGTCACATGGTGTCAGGAGTGGGATCAGGCTCTCGCAATAATCGTCCTTTTACTTGATCTCACTCTGGACAAAACAATGGACATTTGCAGATCCAGTGAGTGCAGTCGGAGTCAGTTAAAAAGTCTACAAGAGGAGGTTGAAATCCCTGTCAATAAAGTCACAAAGAAAAAAACAATATGATAAACAGAGAGACAGTGGAGCTACAGCACAGAGTGGAAATGTGAGGAATCAAGGAAATTGCACAAGATATGGCTATAAGCACGATCCAAAGAAATGTCCTGCTTATGGACAAGTGTGTAAAGCTTGTCACACGAAAAATCACTATGCAAGAATATGCAAATTACACCAGCACACCAACAACCCGAAGGTGCATCATATAAATAAGTCAGAAGCTAAAGAGGAGGAATTCTTTATTGGTTCCATTCACACAGCATCACAAGCTAACATGACTGTAACCAAGGCAGAAAAATGGCATGAAGATGTAGTGAACCTGATCTGACCCTGATCTGACCCTGATGACCTCAAATCTATCAGATGGACAGGGACTGTTATTTCATTGATCTGAATACAGTCTGAGCCATCTGGTGACTTTCTTTCTTGAATTAATCAAGCAGAAAAGACAATTCTCTATGATCATCACTGTTTTACAAATGTTTGATAATCAAAATTGTGTTAGTTCACTCAAAGTTACAGGTTGAAGAGAACTACTCATTTTTATTTTTACATAAACAGTAAGTAATGATTTTTATTCCTCATTTAAAGAAGAAATCAGGTTAATATGCATTTCTTGATTTTCTGTCTGAAATGAGCCAAGTTTTGTAAGTATGTGAAAGGTCGGTTTTCGGTCAACTAAAATGTTTACCGAGAAAGATGTCATGTTTAAACTTTTGCAGAAGATTATAAGTGTGTGACTCCACGAAGTCTGAAGTCCTACAATAATCTTTCTGTTTGTTACTAAACAATCCTTGAATTTTAATAACATCTTACATCATAAACCACACCTCTATTCCTGGTCCATCGACCAATCAAAAGCTCTCAAATGAACCGGAAGTCGACCCATTTAAAATGTGGCAACTTCCCAGTTCATGTTAGAATTCAGGAGAATTCAGGGAATTCAAAAGAATTCAGGAGAATTCAGGAGAATTCCAGAGGCTGAAGAGATGAAGAACTAGAGAGTTGCTGGAGTTGAAAGATTCTGTTAGAGTCTGAGAAGTTCTGAAGAATGAAAGGAGTTCAGAGTTCTTGGGTGCAAACGCGTTCAGGATGATCCAGAGACGTTTTGGGATTATAACTTCTGTTTGAACAAACCACACACGACTATCTAAGGATTTCAGCTGCTCTCAACGGAGACGCTGAAATAGTCGGAAGGATTCTATACCGAGCTGATCTACATCAACAGGTAACAGTTTCTTCTTCGACTAAAGTGTACCGGAGGCAAGCTGAGATCTGATGAAGCGTGTACGTTCTGGTCAAACAGATTAATTCCCTCACATATCTCTCTGTAAGATAACTCCATTTCATCTTAAAACTCTCCTCTTTCTCATAAAATCAGTACAGATATTTTAGAAATATCTGAAGCAAAGTCCTCGTTCACCGCCGAGTGATCGATGTCCCTTTTTTGTGAAACTTGTCTGTTATTATTTTCATATTTTGCCAAATTAATGTAAATGTTTGATGTTAAACTTTGATTCTGAAAATAAATGACCGCATTCATTTTGATGGGTCAAAGATAAATAACGTCTCTCGTTACATTTCTGTTAAATTCAATGCACGACATTACACAGTCAGAAAGATGAGGAACTCGTGAATATTGTATGCATATATATCTCATATATTGTCATACTACAAAGATCTGATTGTCAACAAGAAAGTTTTGAAAGTCAGGTTGGATAATGGAGCTGATTGCAATGTTGTGTCAATGAAATACCTCAGAAAACTGAGATTGGATCAACAGCTGAGCACATCACATGCTAAACTTGTTGCTTATGCAGGCCATCAGTTTATAGCAAAAGGAAAAAAATAGGTTGACATGTCAGTATATAGATAAAAGGTATGATCTAAAATTTGAGGTCATAAAGAATAATGCACCTGCAATTCTTGGAGGAGAGTCAAGTGAAAGAATGAGACTTGTTAGGAGACTACATGCACTTGAAAAACAGGATGACATTATGAGTGAATGAGGATTTATTTTCTGGATTAGGCTGCATACCAGGAATGTACCACATTCAGACAAATCTAGACATTGCTCCAGTGGTTCATGCTCCCAGAAAAGTGCCTGTTGCTCTCAAAGGCAAAATTGAAGCAGAACTAAAAAGAATGGAAAGTGTGGGTGTGATAACTAAACAGACAGAGCCAACAGATTGGGTGAATAGCATGGTTACTGTAACTAAACCCAATAAGGTAAGGATCTGCATTGACCCACAGGACCTGAATAAAGCCATCAAGAGAGAACATTATCCATTGTGCACAATTGAAGAAGTGTTTGCTGAAATGCCAAATGCCCGATTTTTTTCAGTTTTAGACGCTAACCATGGATTTTGGCAAATCTAGTTAAACATAGAAAGTTCTCAACAGTGTACTCCATTTGGGAGATATAGATTTAAAAGACTTCCATTTGGTATATCATCAGCACCTTAGATGGCATTAGAGTGTACCAAAGGTGCATAGCCAGACATTTAGAAGGGCTTGATGGTGTAGTCAATATAATTGATGACATCCTGGTTTGGGGAAAGAGCATAGAGCAGCATGATTATCGGTTGAGATGACTGCTAGACCGTCTGAGAAGTATCGATCTGAAATTGAACAAAAGTAAGTGCAAGATAAGGATGACCGAGATCAGTTACACTGGACATGCTCTCAGCGAGAAAGGACTTAAACCTAACCCTGAAAAGGTTAAAGCTATACAAAACATGGCTGCACCGGAAGACAAATCTGCTCTTCAGAGGTTTGCAGGATTATTGCAATACCTTTCTAAATTTATCCCCAACCTTTCAAATTTGAGTACTCCTTTAAGAAAGTTGGAAGGAGATGTGGAATGGCATTGGGGACCAGAGCAACAAAATAGTTTTAATAAACTAAAAGCTCTCGTCAGCCAAACACCAGTACTGAATTCAAAAAGCGTTCAATACAAAAACAACTGGACTTTATTTGTAACAGAAGACATTTTGCTCCTCGTCCGAGGAGCGAAATGTCTTCTACATCTTCTCTTACAAATAAAGTCCAGTTGTTTTTGTATTGAACACTTTTTGAATTCATCATGTCCTGGATGACCGGAGATCATCAAACTAAATGCAACAACAAGCAATCATGTAATCACTGGACTGAAGTCCGTGTTTGCATGACATGGTGTGTCAGATGAATTAGTCTGATAATGGCAGACAGCTGGTGAGCCAAGAGATGGTGGAATTTAGTAAAGAATGGGGTTTTAAACATTCAACCTCAAGTACTTTTTACCCTCAGTCGAATGGACAAGCTGAGAGAGCAGTTCAGACAATAAAAAACCTACTGAAAAAAGCACAGGAGAGTGGGGGTGACCCATATCTAGCATTGCTTAAATACAGGAATACACCAGTGTATGGAGTTGGATTATCACCTGCTCAGCTGCTCATGGGAAGAAGGCTCAAGTCAAAAATACCTGTGACAAACATATTGTTGCAACCAGCTCTCCATGAAAATGTCAGGAGCAACCTAGTACATAGTCAACAAAGACAGAAACAATACTTTGATCAAGGAACCAGGATGCTGTCTGTTCTCCAAGATGGTGATAAAGTGAGGATTAGACAAGGCAATAAATGGGAACCAGCCACTGTGGTACAAAAACACAGTCAGCCAAGGTCATATGTTGTTTAAACTATAACTGGAGAACTGTACAGGAGGAACCGTAAACACCTGCTCAAAACAAGAGAGACTGAATTTCCAAGAGTACCTGATGATAATATACCAGAGTACTCTTATCAAGAGGAGACACAGAACACATGGCCAAGTACTGAACCTCCTCAAGATGCAAGAAACATGCAAGATACACAGCCAAGTGTTGAACCATCTAGCTCTACTCCAGACAGTTCCACTGTTCCACACAGTCCAACAGTAGTGACTGACAGTACTGTTACTTCTAACAGTCCTGTGAGAACAACTCGCTGTGAAAGACCTGTTAAAAGGCCAAGACGTTATATGGACTGAACGGGATTTATGAATTTTGCTAAAAGTTAACTATGACATTGTTATGAACTATGAAAAAAAAAAAATTCAGAGAGGGAGATGTGATATATACTGTAATGAGACAAGTTAATTACTTTATATTGCCAGTAGGTGGCACTGTGCTGTTATAAAAGACCTGAATGATGACGAGTAAAGGGCGTTGTCTTCCAAACATCAGTGTCTGTCTCATGATATGTTACACCATCCATAGGATTTTCTAAGGAAACTCAGTTCTCAAACCTTAGATTTACCAAAATATTGAATAAATTTGTAATAAATATGGAATAAGTGATGACAGTCTTAAACGGGCCAGTAAAATCTATGATTTTCTTTGCACGAGTTGGATCCTCAATGCAACCTGTCAATAAATCCAGTAGGCTCGTCATCAAATGACCAATCGGCGACCTCAGTTTGTCCTGAAGGTAAACACCCCTTACCAGTAGGAGCTGTTGGGAGGGTGGTGTGGGGAAGGGGGTTCATGCATGAGAGAAGCGGAGCGCTACGTCTGTAGCATCTTAGCTAGTGCATCTGTACTGTGCTCCACAATACAGTTGTCAGCAGTTGTTGACCAGGGTGGGGGTGTTAGGATGCTTGAGAGAAGCAGAGCATGCTCTATTCACACAATGAGAGCTGCTGGTCAGGCTACTTATTGCTGCTCTCTAAAATAGTTATTGAATCGTTTACTTATTTAGGTAAACGTAGATGTTTAACAACCTGTTAAAAATACACCAGAATGCAGAAAATGGCATCTACTTTATTAGGGCATTAACGTGCGGTTGATCTTCTGTTCTGTTGATCTTCTGTGCAAAGAAGATCAACAGAACAGAAGATCAACCGCACAGAAGATCAACATCATCAGGCCAGGACTCTGCGGTCTACACTCATCTCCAGGCCAGCGGTCACTCTTTCAGGGATGAAGATGTGCACATCCTGGATAGAGAGGAACGATGGTTTGAGAGAGGAGTAAAGGAGGCCATCTTTGTGAAAAGAAATCGTCCATCATTAAACAGGGGTGGAGGCCTACGTGTTCAATTGCCCCCCTCTTACAATGCTGTGATTGCTAGTATCACTCAGCCCTCTGTGAATAGTAAACAGCCATCAGTGTGCTAATGATCCATCCTTAGGCTGATGGTCCTTCTTGAGCATGTGATCAGCTGGTTTTGGTTGTCAGCAGCAAACTGGTTGGTCCACTCTGAGAAGGTGCTATTTAAGAGACTGAGCTGAATACAGCACCTCAGACTGAGGAAGTCTCTCGGATGAGAGACGAAACATTTCTATATTTTTTTGCTTTGGGTTTTTTTTTTTTTTTTTTTGAATGTCCAGCGGACCAGATTAAACTTTTTTGGATTTTTCTACCTGGATTATTGAGCATGCATCAGGATATTCGTAAAACATTCTTGCTGTTTTCCTGACTTGTAAAAACCCTCTGACATCACTAGAACCACACCCCGGTTGGTTGCTTCAACCAATCAGGACTTACTAAAGTGACCGGAAGCAGAACTCTTTAAAAGTCGACACTTCCTGGAACTATTAGGCTTCTAGAGTCTTCAGGGTCTTCTGAGGTTCTGGGAGAGTTCTAGCTGTTCTAGAGTTCTGGAGTTTTTCCACTGCTGAGTGGAACTTTAGACTCAGTTTTCCAGTCTGATGGAGTCATCCATCTCTGCTGTGATCACGGCGCCTCGTTGTGACTATCACCAGGCGAATGCCCTACAACTTCTGAGGAAGTTTGTTCTGTAGAACGGAGTATCTCACGACTTCTGCCGAGTCGCAGTCGCCCTGAGAAGACGCTGAAAGGTAGCGTGCCAGGGACCTCTTGACCGTAGTGGACCCATCCTCTGCCAAGGTAAAGAGTCGTCACGAGCTACACGCGAAGTGTACCGTGGGCGAACTGCGTTTGGAAGGAGCGTGTTGTTCTGGTCTACAGACATACATCTTCCTTCAACATCTCCCTTTAAACTCCTCCATATTTCCCATCTTTAAAACTCTTCTATCTTGCCAGTAATTAATCCAGATGCCTTCAGAAATGTCTGTTGTTTTTATTAAGTAAAACGTGCCAAGTTTTATTAATCAGAACCAGATCAGTCTAATCAAGTGTACAATGTTTTGATGTTAAATTTTGATTCTGTTCAATAAATGACCAATTTATTTTGATGGTTCAAAGAAAATTAACGTCTCATGTCACTGATTAAACCATCTACGCACAGTACCTCTGTCACATGGCTGTAATTAGCTCGAAAAAGAGAGAACTCGTTATTTTAAATATAACTGTAGTGAAGCTCTGAAGCTAACCTAGCCCATAGAACACTACATGATGTTAATTTTTTAACCTCGATAGATGTCCTAGCAATCGATGTGTAGATTACTCGAGTACTCTGTTAATGCCCTAGTAAGTAGTAGTTTATTTTATTATTTAAATAGTAATACTAGAGCCACTGCTTCTCCACATCGAGAGAGGAACCAGACCAGTTGAGGTGGCTCGGGCATCTGGTTAGGATGCCTCCTGGACGCCTCCCTGGTGAGGTGTTCTGGACACGTCCCACCGGGAGGAGACCCAGAGGAAGACCCAGGACACGCTGGAGGGACTATGTTTCTCGGCTGGCTTGGGTACGCCTCGGGATACCCCCGGAGGAGCTGACCCAAGTGGCTGGGGAAAGGGAAGTCTGGGCCTCCCTACTTAAGCTGCTACCCCCGCAACCCGACCCCGGATAAGCAGAAGAAAATGGATGGATGGATGGATGGATGGATGGATGGTAACTGGGACCCTGTGTACATCATCTTGTTCCATCACATCTCCCACATGTGATGTGAATGACAAATAAATCTCCCTGACTCTGACTGATCTGCTGCGGGTGGAAGTTTATCCTGCAGTAAGGGCTACACAAAGGTGCAGCAGGTGCTAAATAATTTAAAATAATTAATTTTAAATAAAAATTCCATGCCGATCGTGTGGCTAATCCATCAGTCAGCCATTATGTGTAGTGTCCAGTCTCATTTTGACAAACCTCGCTAGAGCGAGTCAACCTCTGAGGCATGTCAAATGTCATAAGCCAAAATGGTCTCAAATTTTTATTTTTCGTGGTCTAATCTTTGACAAGTATGAAGAAGTTTACAATCAACATTGTATTTAGTCAAAGAAGTATGAAGTAATCTTCTGTTGGAATTCTGGCTGTGTTGCACTTTATCTAAGTCGAGCGCATGTGCAGTTAATCATCTGTCTTTCTCAGGAGACACTTCGTGGCTGCAGGATGAATGTGAGGAGATCAAAACTGTTGAATGTCCTGCAGGGTAAATATGGATCTTTAAAGAAGGGCTGCAAAGTTGAAATAGGCTGACAAAGGAGATTTCAAACATTCTCTGTTTTGTTTTGTGTGCAGGTTTGTCCGTCCTCCACTCATCATACTGTCAGTGGATGGATTCAGAGCTTCTTATGTGAAGAGAGGGAACACTGTCATACCCAACATTGAGAAACTCAGTAAGACGTGCATGCAGAGAGAGAACTTTTGTTTGCTATTTTATTGGGAAAAGTGACAGATAAACAGTAAATATCATGTAATAGGGAAAATGTATATTTGTTGTGGGTTGTCAGGATATTTTCATGAGTTTTGAGCTAAACCGATTGACTGGTGTTAGACTTTTCATAATTAACCTGTAGTTTTTGTGTCCTTTTAGGAACATGTGGAACACACGCTCCCTACATGAGGCCTGTTTACCCGTCAAAAACTTTCCCTAACTTGTACTCACTGGCTACTGTAAGTTTGTTATGATGAAAATACAATTCTACAAGTTGTAAGATCTTTTGGATATACCATAAACTGACATGCATCAATGTCTAAGTTATGGCTGAGGACTGAAGGACAATATTAGTATGCTAGAAAAAAAAACAAAAAAAAAAAACGATATATGAACAGTAAATTAAGTGTTGTGTTACAGATCATGCTTAAAAAGTTAGTTACAAAGAATATTTTCTTTTGTTTTCATTTAACTACCAGTAATAACTATTATACTTGATATAGACTTAAAAAAAAACGTGGAATAATTTGATAATGTAGAACACTGGACCAGCTCTTTACCCTCACTAGGGTCCTCGAGGGGTCATGGGAGTTTTCCCATCCAGTCTACATGTGTTTTGTGGACTTGGAAAAGGCATTCAACAGTTTCCTAGAGATACACTGTGGGGGATTCCCCGTGAGTATGGGACTGGGGGGCCGTTGTTTTGGGCTGTTCAGCCCCTATACAAGCGGTGCGAGAGTTTGGTTTGCATTGCCGGTAGTAAGTCGGACCCCTTCAGGGTGGGAGTTGGACTCCACCAGGGCTGCTCGTTGTCACAGATTCTGTTCATAACTTTTATGGACAGAATTTCTCGGTGCAGCCAGGGGCTAGAGGGAGTCTGGTTCGGCGGCCTCAGGATTCCATCTCTGCTCTTTGCAGATGACGTGGTCCAGTTGGCGTCCCTGTGTCCTGATCTTCAGCTCTCACTGGAGCGGTTCGCAGCTGAGTGTGAAGCACCTGGGATGAGAATCAGCACCTCCAAATCTGAGGCCATGGTCCTCAGTCAGAAAAGGGTGGATTCCTCTCTTCTAGTCAAGGATGAGGTTCTGCCTCAAATGGAGAAGTTCAAGTATCTTGGGATTTTCTTTACAAGTGAGGGAAGAATGGAGCGTGAGGTTGGCAGACAGATTGGTGCAGCTTCTGTAGTATTGCGGACTCTGTACCGGTCCGTTGTGGTGAAGAGGGAGCTGAGCTGTAAGGCAAAGCGCTCTGTCTACATTCCTACCCTCACCTATGGTCATGAACTCTGGGTAGTGACTGAAAGAATGAGATCGTGGATACAGGCGGTTGAAATGAGTTTCCTCTGCAGGGTAGCTGGACTCTCCCTTAGAGATAGCGTGAGAAGTTCAGTTATCAGGCGAGAATCAGAGTAGAATTACTGCTCCTCCACATCAAGAGGATCCATTTGAGGTGGTTCGAGCATCTGGTAAGGATGCTTCCTGGGTGCCTCCCTAGAGAGGTGCTTCGAGCCTGTCCGACTGGGAGGAGACCCCGGGGAAGATCCAGGACATGCTGGAGAGACTATTGCCCCTTTTCCATTAGTACCTGTAGTACCGGTGCAGCATGGCTTTTTTCAGTACGGTACATATTGTGTTTCCATTATGCTTTCTGTACCAGTTCCAGTGGGTGGGGTTCAAATTGATGTCAGCACCTGTGGGGGCAGCTGTGGCTGAGTGGTTAGAGCAGTTGTCCTCCAATGCGAGAGTTGGGGGTTCGAATCCACCAGCAGTCACATGCTGAAGTGTCCCTGGGCAAGACACTGAACCCCTCATAGCCTCTGATGTGTGTCCCATCGGTGTATGGATGTGATCTAAAGCACTGATTAGTCTCTTTAGAATGATTTTTTTTTCAATTAGCTTTGTATAGCTCTAGTAGAGTGTTGTATGAATGGGTAAATGAGGACATAAATTGTAGTGTAAAGCACTTTGAGTGTCTTGAAATAAGATAGAAAGGCGCTATATAAGTGCAGTCCATTTACCATTTACCATTCACCTCGCACCAGCTGGTGGCGCTGAGACGCTGAAACTGTTCTATTTTGTATAGGCTTCGCCCTTTAAGGCTATTTGCTAGTGGGTTTTATCCCGTCACGCAAAGCGTAGCACTGAAAACTTTAGTCCACGCCCACCTTTGGGCCCCACCCGATCCGTATAAATTACGTTGAGAGCAGGTAATCGGCTCCCATTTTTCTTCAGCAAGAAACCAGCACTGATCTTCCAAGAACGCGATGTCCAGCACCAACACCATCCGCCTGTGCCCGTCCTGCAAGACCGGCTACATGCTGAGTTTTGGCCGGCACAAGAACTGCAATGGATGCCTGGGTCCCCGCCACGCCGACCTCGCCTCCTTTTGCCGTCTCTGTGACCTCCTCCCTCCTGAGGAGAGGCAGAGGCAAGCAGCCATGTTCAAGGCTGACGTCGGGGGACTGTTTGCTGGACGACGCCATCGCCTTTTTTGATGCTGAGTCTCGGAGCGAATCGGATGGTTCCTCTGGGACATGTGACGTCAGCAGCAGCCCCGCTACTCATTCCCTCCCAGAGAGCGTAGTGTTGGAACGAGGGGGACCGAGCAGATGCTCAACACCCCC